AAAAAAAAAAAATACTGATCAAAGTGATAAGAAAATGCATTTGATAATTTGCTTGTAAAGACAATCAAAACCTCCATCTCGTTCTCTTTCGTAAAAGTTCATGCTTTATTTCCAACTAATCATTTTCTCAATTTTGAAGCACGGCAAGTTTCGTAATTATCAATTCAACTCAAATCGAGCGCAAATTAAGTCTATCTCGACCAGGAAATTATGGGAACAACAATAACAAAAAATTTTCACAAACATTGTGCAAGCAATGTTGGGAAACTTTTACTAAAATGTATAATGAAGCTTGTTTCAGTGATAAATCCGCGCTCATACATGTCAGGAAATCTAAACTGCTTCGGTTTTAATTTAAATTAAGCAGCCATCAGTAGCCTTGCCAATGAATGACTGTTATCGCACACATCATTTTCGATTTTCATTAGGAAACAGAATTCGAAATTTAACTTTTTTATTATAAAACCTCGACCCTAAACGCCCACCGACAGTAACGTAAACGCAATAAGCTCAGAACTGTGAAAAACAGAAAGCATTTTTGACGAAAAAACACAACGGTGAAAAAAACAGCTCAGACCTGTGCAGGTGATAAACCATTTCGTAGCTCATTCAAGGCGTCAATCAAAGCATTGCCGTACACACATAAATCGTCCCAAGATGCGAGCACCGCTGGTGCTGATGGTTGTCCACCGTTTTGGCTAGTATGCAGAAGTGGAGGATCCGAAATTTCGCCACTGATTTCAATAGTTCGGCACTGTTTGAATCTTGAACGTCGTACAGCATTCTTTCGAGAAAACTCTTATTTTCGCATATTTTTAAAGAAAAAACATTTGGAAAATTCATGTTTTACGGTCTGCGAGGTTTATTTCCTTCTCTCCCCTCCTCCTCTCCGTCCGTCCTCTTTATCATAATTTCTCCACATATTGAACAGAGAGAATGATTATTGAGATATGATGTTATTGCAAAAAAATTCCGGATATTTTTGTAATACTTTAATGCTCGAAGAACAATTAAATATTTCCTCTGCCCGACGGAGCTGTCCTATCCTTCTCGCAAGACAAAAGTGACTATTCGTCACTTCAGAACTTTTCAAAAATTATCAAGACTACCACACTCCCGTACCATCAGTGTAATTCAAAAATAATGAATTCAAATTTCGCTTTCAAACAGAAATATTTTAAAAATTAAAAAGAAATTTTCTAGAAGCTTAAAGCCAAACTTGAAATCATTTCATAATAAGGATGAAGCAGTGATGCGTACGGTACTCTGACTTCGCCAGTGGGACAACCAACCTCTCTGCAGCTCATCATTTGTTTCGACTGATACTGTGGCGAGTTACCATCAAAGTGGAACTGACAGTTATCGACAGCCTTGCCAGCAAATGCTACTGCCAACAAGTGCAGTCAGTTGAGCCACTTCCGAGCGCTCCCTCCTCCCACAGACAGCGAAATGTGAAAAGATTCTCACAACATTTCGGGTGAAGGACGGAGAGGGAGCCATCGACAGACTTACTGCTACCATTTGCGGGTCGTTTGCTGCTGGCACTCGGGCTACTTCTCGAGTGCATTCGCCTCTTATTGGGAACAAGTACAGGGCGGGTTTTTGATCTCCTGAAGGGCGTAGACATTTTTACAAATAAAGTGAGCGGATAAAACTGCAGTTAAAATGATAAAACCTCAGAACTGGAAATTCAAGAAACACCTATTCGCGGCATCTTGAACTCTGGCAGCAAACCGCTTGCTGATACAATCATCGATGATTTCGCTAATCAGAGGTCGAAAATCCATCCCCATTCGTCCAAATGACATTGCAAAGCTCATCAGTTTATTCGTCAGCGCACCAATATCAATAAGTACCTCATTTTCCGCATTCCTGTAATAACAGAAAAGAAATTACCCTGCCAATTTGATCGCTGCAATCGTTTCAATCTCGTGTGTGTGTGTGTGTGTGTGTGTGTG